ATAATTCAGGGAAACCAATTATTAGCCATGGGTGGGCTGGAGACACGTGTTCCCAGCCCCACCCACTGGAATCGTTTATTTGCGGCCGGAATTCTTTCGTAGGAATTCCGAAACCTATCATAGGAATGTCGCACTAATTATAGGAATAAAAAAATTCAGGGAAACCAATTATTAGCCATGGGTGGGGCTGGAGACACGTGTTCCCAGCCCCAACCACGGGAATCGTTTATTTGCGGCCGGAATTCTTTCGTAGGAATTCCGAAACCTATCATAGGACTTCATAGGAATGTCGCACTAATTATAGGAATAAAAAAATTCAGGGAAACCAATTATTAGCCATGGGGGGGCTGGAGACACGTGTTCCCAGCCCCACCCACGGGAATCGTTTATTTGCGGCCGGAATTCTTTCGTAGGAATTCCGAAACCTATCATAGGACCTCATAGGAATGTCGCACTAATTATAGGAATAAAAAAAATCCAGGGAAACCAATTATTAGCCATGGGTAGGGCTGGAGACACGTGTTCCCAGCCCCACCCACGGGAATCGTTTATTTGCGGCCGGAATTCTTTCGTAGGAATTCCGAAACCTAGCATAGGAATTCATAGGAATGTCGCACTAATTATAGGAATAAAAAAAATTCAGGGAAACCAATTATTGGCCATGGGTGGGGCTGGAGACACGTGTTCCCAGCCCCACCCACGGGAATCGTTTATTTGCGGCCGGAATTCTTTCGTAGGAATTCCGAAACCTATCATAGGACCTCATAGGAATGTCGCACTAATTATAGGAATAAAAAAAATTCAGGGAAACCAATTATTAGCCATGGGTAAGGGTTGGAGACACGTGTTCCCAGCCCCACCCACGGGAATCGTTTATTTGCGGCCGGAATTCTTTCGTAGGAATTCCGAAACCTATCATAGGACCTCATAGGAATGTCGCACTAATTATAGGAATAAAAAAAATTCAGGGAAACCAATTATTAGCCATGGGTGGGGCTGGAGACACGTGTTCCCAGCCCCACCCACGGGAATCGTTTATTTGCGGCCGGAATTCTTTCGTAGGAATTCCGAAACCTATCATAGGAATTCATAGAATGACGTACTAATTATAGGAATAAAAAAAATTCAGGAAACCAATTATTAGCCATGGGTGGGCTGGAGACACGTGTTCCCAGCCCCACCCACGGGAATCGTATATTTGCGGCCGGAATTCTTTCGTAGGAATTCCGAAACCTATCATAGGACCTCATAGGAATGTCGCACTAATTATAGGAATAAAAAAAATTCAGGGAAACCAATTATGAGCTATAGGTGGGGCTGGAGACACGTGTTCCCAGCCCCACCCACGGGAATCGTTTATTTGCGGCCGGAATTCTTTCGTAGGAATTCCGAAACTTATCATAGGAATTCATAGGAATGACGTGCTAATTATAGGAATAAAAATAATTCAGGGAAACCAATTATTAGCCATGGGTGGGGCTGGAGACACGTGTTCCCAGCCCCACCCACGGAATCGTTTATTTGCGGCCGGAATTCTTTCGTAGGAATTCCGAAACCTATCATAGAAATTCATAGGAATGACGCACTAATTATAGGAATAAAAATAATTCAGGGAAACCAATTATTAGCCATGGGTGGGGCTGGAGACACGTGTTCCCAGCCCACCCACGGGAATCGTTTATTTGCGGCCGGAATTCTTTCGTAGGAATTCCGAAACCTATCATAGAACTCATAGGAATGTACGCACTAATTATAGGAATAAAAAAATTCAGGAAACCAATTATTAGCCATGGGTGGGCTGGAGACACGTGTTCCCAGCCCACCCACGGGAATCGTTTATTTGCGGCCGGAATTCTTTCGTAGGAATTCGGAAACCTATCATAGGAATGTCGCACTAATTAAAGGAATAAAAAAAATTCAGGGAAACCAATGATTACCATAGGTGGGGCTGGAGACACGTGTTCCCAGCCCCACCCACTTGAATCGTTTATTTGCGGCCGGAATTCTTTCGTAGGAATTCCGAAACCTATCATAGGACCTCATAGGAATGTCGCACTAATTAAAGGAATAAAAAAAATTCAGGGAAACCAATTATTAGCCATTGGTGGGGCTGGAGACACGTTTTCCCAGCCCCACCCAAGGGAATCGTTTATTTGCGGCCGGAATTCTTTCGTAGGAATTCCGAAACCTATCATAGGACCTCATAGGAATGTCGCACTAATTATAGGAATAAAAAAAAATCAGGGAAACCAATTATTAGCCATGGGTAAGGGTTGGAGACACGTGTTCCCAGCCCCACCCACGGGAATCGTTTATTTGCGGCCGGAATTCTTTCGTAGGAATTCCGAAACCTATCATAGGACCTCATAGAATGTCGCACTAATTATAGGAATAAAAAAAATTCAGGGAAACCAATTATTAGCCATGGGTGGGGCTGGAGACACGTGTTCCCAGCCCCACCCATGGGAATCGTTTATTTGCGGCCGGAATTCTTTCGTAGGAATTCCGAAACCTATCATAGGAATTCATATAAAAGACGTACTAATTATAGGAATAAAAAAATTCAGGAAAACCAATTATTATCAATGGGTAGGGCTGGAGACACGTTTTCCCAGCCCCACCCACGGGAATCGTATATTTGCGGCCGGAATTCTTTCGTAGGAATTCCGAAACCTATCATAGGACCTCATAGGAATGTCGCACTAATTATAGGAATAAAAAAAAATCAGGGAAACCAATTATGAGCTATAGGTGGGGCTGGAGACACGTGTTCCCAGCCCCACCCACGGGAATCGTTTATTTGCGGCCGGAATTCTTTCGTAGGAATTCCGAAACTTATCATAGGAATTCATAGGAATGACGTGCTAATTATAGGAATAAAAATAATTCAGGGAAACCAATTATTAGCCATGGGTGGGGCTGGAGACACGTGTTCCCAGCCCCACCCACGGGAATCGTTTATTTGCGGCCGGAATTCTTTCGTAGGAATTCCGAAACCTATCATAGGAATTCATAGGAATGACGGCCTAATTATAGGAATAAAAATAATTCAGGGAAACCAATTATTGGCCATGGGTGGGGCTGGAGACACGTGTTCCCAGCCCCACCCACGGGAATCGTTTATTTGCGGCCGGAATTCTTTCGTAGGAATTCCGAAACCTATCATAGGACCTCATAGGAATGTCGCACTAATTATAGGAATAAAAAAATTCAGGGAAACCAATTATTAGCCATGGGTGGGGCTGGAGACACGTGTTCCCAGCCGCACCCACGGGAATCGTTTATTTGCGGCCGGAATTCTTTCGTAGGAATTCCGAAACCTATCATAGGACCTCATAGGAATGTCGCACTAATTATAGGAATAAAAAAAATTCAGGGAAACCAATTATTAGCCATGGGTAAGGATTGGAGACACGTGTTCCCAGCCCCACCCACGGGAATCGTTTATTTGCGGCCGGAATTCTTTCGTAGGAATTCCGAAACCTATCATAGGAACTCATAGGAATGACGCACTAATTATAGGAATAAAAAAATTCAGGGAAACCAATTATTAGCCATGGGTGGGGCTGGAGACACGTGTTCCCAGCCCCACCCACGGGAATCGTTTATTTGCGGCCGGAATTCTTTCGTAGGAATTCCGAAACCTATCATAGGACCTCATAGGAATGTCGCACTAATTATAGGAATAAAAAAAATTCAGGGAAACCAATTATTAGCCATGGGTGGGGCTGGAGACACGTGTTCCCAGCCCCACCCACGGGAATCGTTTATTTGCGGCCGGAATTCTTTCGTAGGAATTCCGAAACCTATCATAGGAATTCATAGGAATGACGTACTAATTATAGGAATAAAAAAAATTCAGGGAAACCAATTATTAGCCATGGGTGGGGCTGGAGACACGTGCTCCCAGCCGCACACACGGGAATCGTTTATTTGTGGCCGGAATTCTTTCGTAGGAATTCCGAAACCTATCATAGAAATCATAGAAGGACGCACTAATTATAGGAATAAAAATAATTCTGGGAAACCAATTATTAGCCATGGGTGGGGCTGGAGACACGTCTTCAAAGCCGCACACACGGGAATCGTTTATTTGCGGCCGGAATTCTTTCGTAGGAATTCCGAAACCTATCAAAGAAACTCATAGGAATGACGCACTAATTATAGGAATAAAAATAATTCAGGCAAACCAATTATTAGCCATGGGTGGGACTGGAGACACGTGTTCCCAGCCCCACCCACTTGAATCGTTTATTTGCGGCCGGAATTCTTTCGTAGGAATTTCGAAACCTATCATAGGAATGTCGCACTAATTAAAGGAATAAAAAAAATTCAGGGAAACCAATGATTTACCATGGGTGGGGCTGGAGACACGTGTTCCCAGCCCCAAACACTTGAATCGTTTATTTGCTCCCGGAATTCTTTCGTAGGAATTCCGAAACCTATCATAGGACCTCATAGGAATGTCGCACTAATTAAAGGAATAAAAAAAATTCAGGGAAACCAATTATTAGCCATGGGTGGGGCTGGAGACACGTTTTCCCAGCCCCACCCACGGGAATCGTTTATTTGCGGCCGGAATTCTTTCGTAGGAATTCCGAAACCTATCATAGGACCTCATAGGAATGTCGCACTAATTATAGGAATAAAAAAAATCAGGGGAAACCAATTATTAGCCAGGGTAAGGGTTGGAGACACGTGTTCCAGCCCCACCACGGGAATCGTTTTTTTGCGGCCGGAATTCTTTCGTAGGAATTCCGAAACCTAGCATAGGAATTCATAGGAATGTCGCACTAATTATAGGAATAAAAATAATTCAGGGAAACCAATTATTGGCCATGGGTGGGGCTGGAGACACGTGTTCCCAGCCCCAAACACTTGAATCGTTTATTTGCGGCCGGAATTCTGTCGTAGGAATTCCGAAACCTATCATAGGAATTTATTGAAATGACGTACTTATTATATTAATAAAAAAAATTCAGGAAAACCAATTATTAGCCATGGGTGGGGCTGGAGACACGTGCTCTCAGCCGCACACACGGGAATCGTTTATTTGTGGCCGGAATTCTTTCGTAGGAATTCCGAAACCTATCAAAGAAACTCATAGGAATGACGCACTAATTATAGGAATAAAAATAACTCAGGCAAACCAATTATTAGCCATGGGTAGGGCTGGAGACACGTGTTCCCAGCCCCACCCACTTGAATCGTTTATTTGCGGCCGGAATTCTTTCGTAGGAATTCCGAAACCTATCATAGAAACTCATAGGAATGACGCACTAATTATAGGAATAAAAATAATTCAGGGAAACCAATTATTGGCCATGGGTGGGGCTGGAGACACGTGTTCCCAGCCCCACCCACGGGAATCGTTTATTTTCGGCCGTAATTCTTTCGTAGGAATTCCGAAACCTATCATAGGACCTCATAGGAATGTTGCACTAATTATAGGAATAAAAAAAATTCAGGGAAACCAATTATTAGCCATGGGTGGGGCTGGAGACACGTGTTCCCAGCCGCACCCACGGGAATCGTTTATTTGCGGCCGAAATTCTTTCGTAGGAATTCCGAAACCTATCATAGGAACTCATAGGAATGTACGAACTAATTATAGGAATAAAAAAATTCAGGGAAACCAATTATTAGCCATGGGTGGGGCTGGAGACACGTGTTCCCAGTCCCACCCACGGGAATCGTTTATTTGCGGCCGGAATTCTTTCGTAGGAATTCCGAAACCTATATAGACATAGGAATGTCGCACTAATAATAGGAATAAAAAAATTCAGGGAAACCAATTATTAGCTATAGGTGGGGCTGGAGACACGTGTTCCCAGCCCCACCCACGGGAATCGTTAATTTGCGGCCGGAATTCTTTCGTAGGAATTCCGAAACTTATCATAGGAATTCATAGGAATGACGTGCTAATTATAGGAATAAAAAAATTCAGGGAAACCAATTATTGGCCATGGGTGGGGCTGGAGACACGTGTTCCCAGCCCCACCCACGGAATCGTTTATTTTTCGGCCGGAATTCTTTCGTAGGAATTCCGAAACCTATCATAGGACCTCATAGGAATGTCGCACTAATTATAGGAATAAAAAAAATTCAGGGAAACCAATTATTAGCCATGGGTCGGCCTGGAGACACGTGTTCCCAGCCGCAACCATGGGAATCGTTTATTTGCGGCCGGAATTCTTTCGTAGGAATTCCGAAAACTATCATAGGAATGTCGCACTAATTATAGGAATAAAAAAAATTCAGGGAAACCAATTATGAGCTATAGGTGGGGCTGGAGACACGTGTTCCCAGCCCCAAACACTTGAATCGTTTATTTGCGGCCGGAATTCTGTCGTAGGAATTCCGAAACCTATCATAGGAATTTATTGAAATGACGTACTTATTATATTAATAAAAAAAATTCAGGAAAACCAATTATTAGCTATGGGTGGGGCTGGAGACACGTGCTCTCAGCCGCACACACGGGAATCGTTTATTTGTGGCCGGAATTCTTTCGTAGGAATTCCGAAACCTATCAAAGAAACTCATAGGAATGACGCACTAATTATAGGAATAAAAATAACTCAGGCAAACCAATTATTAGCCATGGGTGGGGCTGGAGACACGTGTTCCCAAGCCACACCCACTTGAATCGTTTATTTGCGGCCGGAATTCTTTAGTAGGAATTCCGAAACCTATCATAGAAACTGCATAGGAATGACGCACTAAGTATAGGAATAAAAATAATTCATGGAAACCAATTATTGGCCATAGGGTGGGGCTGGAGACACGTGTTCCAAGCCCCACCCACGGAATCGTTTTATTTGCGGCCGAATTCTTTCGTAGGAATGCCGAAACCTATAATAGGACCTCATAGGAATGTCGCACTAATTATAGGAATAAAAAAAATTCAGGGAAACCAATTATTAGCCATGGGTGGGGCTGGAGACACGTGTTCCCAGCACCACCCACGGGAATCGTTTATTTGCGGCCGGAATTCTTTCGTAGGAATTCCGAAACCTATCATAGGAATTCATAGGAATGACGGACCTATTATAGGAATAAAAAATTCAGGGAAACCAATTATTAGCCATGGGTGGGGCTGGAGACACGTGTTCCCAGCCCCACCCACGGGAATCGTTTATTTGCGGCCGGAATTCTTTCGTAGGAATTCCGAACCCTATCATAGGACCTCATAGGAATGACGCACTAATTATAGGAATAAAAAAATTCAGGGAAACCAATTATTAGCCATGGGTGGGGCTGGAGACACGTGTTCCCAGCCCCACCACGAGAATCGTTATTTGCGGCCGGAATTCTTTCGTAGGAATTCCGAAACCTATCATAGGCCTCATAGGAATGTACGCACTAATTATAGGAATAAAAAATTCAGGGAAACCAATTATTAGCCATGGGTGGGGCTGGAGACACGTGTCCCCAGCCCCACCCACGGAATCGTTTTATTTGCTGGCCGGAATTCTTTCGTAGGAATTCCGAAACCTATCATAGAAAATCTAGGAATGTACGCACTAATTTATAGGAATAAAAAAAATTCAGGGGAAACCAATATTAGCCATGGGTGGGGCTGGAGGAACGTGTTCCCAGCCCCAACCACGGGAATCGTTTATTTGCGGCCGGACTTCTTTCGTAGGAATTCCGAAAC